AATTAAATCATAACTCATTTACTACTTTGTCTAATTTCTCCTAGAATAAATTAACATTTAGATTAGATGAACTTAAAAATAAATACAAAAATCACATGCTACTCCAGCAACAAATTTCACCAAAAAAATGCAAAATCCATTTGTGTTTTTTTCCCCACCCACCGTTAAAATGCAAAAAAAAAAAAAAACAAAATCAGAAACAAGTAACGTGCCATACCCATCATCATAAGTGAAAAACTGCAGAGTTGCGTGCAGCGTGGCAGTGTATGCGCGGGTGGACAAGTGGTTTTTTGGCAACTGCTCGTACTCTACGCCTTCCAAAGGAAGGACCCTTCCCATTCCCATTCCCCATCATCATCACTCCCAATGCATTTTTCTCCCTAAACCCCATTTCCTCTCCTCTTTAATAATCTTCCCTTCCTTTGGAATCCACAATTTCTCTGCCCCCGCTGAATAATCGCTTTTTTTCACTCTACTCCTCCTTTGATTACCTGCATTTTGTTTAGTAATCCATGGCAACGCCTCACCAAACCTCTGATCGATCAACATCTACTGGTATGGAAACTCACGATCTCCAAAGATACACTGAAAAGAAAATATAGATTTCTTCCTACATGTTTTTGAATGTTGATGATGATGATGATGATCAAATTAGTTTCTTTTTGCTTAGTGATTTTTTTTTTTTTTTGGGTTTAATATAAGGATTATCGAAATCGTTCTGGAAAGAGGATGATGGATTTTGTCACTTAGCTTTGTTTTGTTTCGAATTTGGCGATGAATTTGAGGCGATCGTCTTGAATGTCTGGCAGGAAATGATGTTTGACGAATTCTGCAGTTTATGCTTTTCTATTTTTCTTGATTTAGTTGACTGGAAAATGCGAAATTTTGCTGTTTAGGTTAATCTATTAAGTCTTGTTTGGCATTGGAGAGATTGCATTTAGTGATTTATTGACTTCCAATTTATTGCTTATTTGTTTTTATGTTCTGCAAACATGTCTGTCCACATGAACACATGCGTGGCAATTTTTTTCTTTACTGGTTATTTAGACTTGGATGAGGGATTGAACATTTTGGTTCTGGATGCAAAGCAGAGGCTTGGTAATCAGGTATTTATCATGATAATACAAAGTGATTGAAATGATGTTCTGCATTTTCGTCTTTGCTGGAGATGACACCAAGATTGGTTTTTCACAGGATGTGGTTGCTGTTGGTCTTATGAGGAATGGCGAAGATCAGTTGGGATCTTTGTCTTCTGTTGGAGACCCTGAGACTGCCTATTCATCCAATGCTTTTGCTTCTCATGCACAGCTCCATAGCGAAAGTGAAGGTTAATTTTCTATATATGTAGGCATTATATGATACTCCCTCCATTCCATTTTAGTTGTACCATTTTTTGACTTTACACATATCAAGACAATCTAAGGGATTGGTTAAAGCTCCATAGTTAGGTGTTAAAATGAAACATTTATCCCTAATAAAAGCTTTATCATCTTTTTAAATAGACTAGTGTTAAGGGATAAAGTTGGAATAATAGCATTTAATGTCTCATATTAATAGAAAATGGGACAACTAAATTGAAACACCCAACTCTAATCAGTGGGGCAACTGAATTGGAATGGAGGGAGTATTTAGTTTAGAGGTACGGTTTTATTGTTCTTTGCCATGCATCAAGATTTTACAGGTTTAATACACTTAATCTGGGCATCCCCAGGTTTTACAGTCTCATTATAAACCAATGACAAGATTCAAATGAGCTACAATACTTTGAGCAACCTGGTCAACAGTAGCTACTTCATTTCTAAATAATCTCCTATTTCTTTCATTCCAAAGCGTATAAATCACCACTGTGAAAGCTATATTGGGCAACATATCTAAGTTAGCTAGTTAATTTCCTGCATGACTGATTTTGTCCAATATTTTGATGCTCTGACATGCAACGATCTTTCTTATGTTTCTTATTTTTGTCCCCTGATTTACCACATGCAGCTCTTAAATGGGGTTCATATTTTCCAAATGTTAACGCTGAAGGCTTGGAAAATGATTCTACTGTGCGTAAACTCCATCACTCTGGCCATTCAGACTTCTTTTCCGTCTATTGGCACATCTCAGCAAATTGTTTATCTGTTTTTCCTTATTATGTAGGACGTCTATAATGAAACTCCATCTCTTGGACTGTATGACTCTGGGCACAGCTCTCAAATGCAGCAGAGACATTTTGCTTCACTCTCATCTCAGCTTCCTTCTGTGATTGGCCATAGCCAATTGTACAATGGAAGATACTTCCCTACCCCAGATCCACCCTATCACCAGCAACTAGTTCCTCAAAGTCTTTCATATGCTACTTCACCAGTCTCAGTGTCTCATTCAAAATTTCCTGTAAACATTGAGGTGCAGGGGGAAGAGAGGAGATTTATGCCAACACCAAATTGCCTGACTCTGTTGGGATCTTATGGCAGAGGAAGCAACTTGTTTGGAAACTCTTCCAAGCTCAGTTTCTCAGGCCAAGGGTGTGACAGTTTTGAGGCTGCTGGATTCCATGCAGATTGGTTGAAACCTTTGAATAGCAGTTCATTATTCCAGTTGTCATATCCTGAAGCTTGTCCAGAACCAGTCACTTCCCTTGAGTTTCCCAGAAATGAGTTTGGATTGGTTATTTTTCTATCTATTTATGCCTTTGAGATTTCAGGAATCTAACATTATTTGGAGATTTGGTTAAGGTAGTAGGAATCTAACATTTTTTGGAGACTTGAATTGCCACTTCACCTGTATAATTTGATAAACAAGCCAGAGTACACATTCCTTATTGTCATGCTAGCTTGCATCATTAATTAGGTTCCTTGCAGACAACTTTGCTTTTTATTACTTGGTTGTAAAAGCATACTCCTTGTTTCAATGACATACAACTGCGAGAGTCAAAGAGTGTGGCTTACAAGTTACAAAACACACTACTTACATGCAAACAAAGATACATGCACAAACACATATAGAAAGCATGCACCAAGTCAACCTCTTGCTTTGGGCTGCTTCTGTAGATTGTTTTGAGTGCTTTTTGTGGCTTGACCAAGAACTCTTTTTTAAGCTCTTCACATGGATTGACAATTTCTTTTTAAGTGGCTTTGGGATTTTTCACTCAAGCAGTGGCTGACTTCTTGGCCACTTTGACTCCTTGTATTTGTCAAGTTCTCATGCGTGAATGTATGAAGCTAGTAGATTCTGTAACCATAGTGCACCACCAGACAGTTGATTCAAATGTTTTAACGTTCTTTTGACGGGAATGTTATGCCTTGAAATAAAAAACATTACAATTGAAAACTGTGAGATTGGTGAAGAACATTGACTTGCATTAGCTGTCTCTGTTTGAATTAAAGACTACTCATTTGTGAGTTTTAATCTGTAATTAAATCTATGCAGGGTTCTTTCCAGAAAGCATCATTTCATGGGTTTGGATCATGCTCTAGTTTGAGCTCCAGAGGCTACTCCAATATTAGAAGTGATCTAGGCTGTAGCTATGGAAGTACAGTTGCTTCTAGCTTGGGCATAAATGGTAAAAGCTGGCCAACCCTTGACGAAGCAAGACAAGCAAGAAGGTGCAATGACTTCTCATGCAGTTGTACAGTAGCACTTGATACGCTAAGTGAGCGAAACAGAGGACCTAGGGCATTTAAACCAAAAGGTCAGACTGCAAATGGGTTGGTTATCAACAATTGCAGGAATGAAAAAATTAATGGCATTAGCACTGGGTTATACAACGAACAGGATTTTATCACTGATTACAAGGATGCAAGGTTCTTTGTCATCAAATCTTATAGTGAAGATAATGTTCATAAGAGTATAAAGTATGGTGTCTGGGCAAGCACTCCAAGTGGCAACAAAAAACTAGATGCTGCTTATCATGAAGCAAAGGGGAAACAAAATATATGCCCAGTTTTTCTGCTCTTTTCAGTAAGTTATCTAGTATCCTAGTCCAGTTAAATGACTTGTGAGTAAACCAAAAGGATGATTCATAGTCTGTCTAGCCTACTAATGTAGTATGTACTTGACAGAATATGAATTGCATGTAATGCATTGACAGAACAAAGGTATTAATAGAGATGCAATAGATATTTTGTTGCCGAGTTCTTGTGTAGTATGAGACCATGGGTTTTCTTGCTGAAAATTTAATGGGATGGATTATGCATTTTTGTGTTTATTATGCAAAAAAATTATGCAAGAAAATACTTGCAATATTTCCTTATTTATTCCTTTCCTTCCGGTTCATTGTATGTGGAAAGCATGAATAAGAGATAGATCTCACTTTGCTGCTTTTGAATGTTAAAATTGCACACAGGTGAATGCTAGTTCTCAGTTCTGTGGAGTGGCTGAGATGGTTGGATCTGTGGACTTTGACAAGAGTGTGGATTATTGGCTTCAAGATAAGTGGTCTGGACATTTCCCTGTAAGATGGCACATTATTAAAGATGTTCCAAACAGTCAGTTTCGGCACATTCTTGTCAGAAGTAATGACAACAAGCCAGTAACTAATAGCAGAGATACTCAAGAGGTAGGAGCTTAGATTAACAATTGTTGACACTTTAGAAAATTTTATGCAATACCAAGTATTTTTATTCGCATTCCTGTCAACTGCCTTCATGACCTCATCTTTTGGCAGTTCTTCATCCACTAAAGTGACTGTAGATTCATGATATATCTGGATTTAATAAACAGAACTTGAAACTTATCCATTTTGATTTTGATACTATGCTGTTTCACAGTGATTCTCAAATTTAGATAGGGTAAGTGGTGTACTTTATGGTGGCTTCTGAGGTGATGGCATAAATTACTTGTTCTTCGATGATGATGCTTTTTCCTTTAGTTTAGTTGACTTGGTTTGGACGCAGGCTATAAAACTAGATAGGGTACAGTATTGTACAGTGCAGTCTCTAGCTCATTTTTTTCTTTGGGTTTGTTTGGTGTAGCTTGTTAGAGCTTTTGCTTTTTTGTACTGTTCATGAGTAATAAGTTTAAATTTTTATTTGAGGGAAAATTTTAAAAGTTGTTTTTAGAGATAAGGAAAAAGTGAGTAAAAAGGAAGTTTATGAAAAACTTGAATTTGAAGCTTTTGATCTTTTACTGTTTAAGGTTTTTTTAAGGTTAAAAAAATATTTTAAAAAGTAGGTTTTAGGAGGGAAATTTAAACTTCTGAAACTTGAATAGTATCAAAAAGCTGAAACACTTGGGAAGTTGCACCAAACAGACCCTTCTTCATTATTATTATTATTATTATTATTATTGTTATTGTTATTGTTATTGTTATGGTAAATGCAGCACATTCTAAGTGAGTCTTGGCCATTGTATGGTCCAAGAACTAGAATGAAGATGATACCGAGATCTGTGGTTTAATTTCCATTGCTCCTCCCAAAATTTATTACCTTTAAAAAATTTTGGATTTTAAGTGGGAAGCTATCTAATGCAATTCTATGTTTGTGTCTAGCAACTTTAAAATAAGCAATGCTGACGTTCAAGAGTGATTAATGATTGCATTCAGAGGTGTCGTCTTACCCAGTCTCAAATATTGCAGGTGGAATTGGAACAGGGAATTGAGATGTTGAACATTTTCAAAAACTATGGAAGTTACTCATCTATCCTTGATGATTTTTACTTTTATGAAGAGCGGCAAAAAGCAATGCAGGAAAGGAAGTCCAGGCAGCAAGCAAGCCTGGCAGTTAGTCCAGAAGATGTAGTTAGCGAATCACATTATCCTGTTTCACTTTCTAATGACATTGAAAAGAAAATGACCAAGAGCTTTGCACAGGCTGTGTTGTTGAATGGCAATGACAAAGAAGATCCAGCAGCTGGAAAGGTTTTATCCACCCTGACCTCCAGCACTGGCCGGGGCAGATGATATCCGAAATAAGCATCTTGCCGACAACATCATTTGCATCAAATTAATGAAATAGGTATCAAGTTTGCACTTCATATTGCCTCATATACCTGTATTTGTTCGTCATTATATTATATTATTTATTTTTTTCTACTATGCTACTCCTCAAGTTTTGAGAAACTTTTACATATTTGGGAGATGGTTTGAATTGTTTTATAGGATTGACTTGTTTCATATGATATTATACCAATGAATTTCTGCAGTATTTATTCTGTTCATCTTTCATTGAACCAATTAACCCTCGACAATTCACTCTTTCTGTTTGGCCTCCGGTCAGGTATTTAAAGCATTACTTGCATGTTGATGCATTTGTTGCCATCCAAAAGCAACCAAAAAAATAAAATTATAAAAGTGAATTGAAAAATGATAGAAACATGAGGTGAAAGCTTAAGCTTTAAAGACAAAGCAAATAGGCGTTTCCCAAAAAAAAAAAAAAAAAAAAAAAAAAGAGAAAAAGAAGAAAAAGAAGAAGACAAAGCAAATAGGCAAACATGAGTTTTCGTTAAGAGGAAGATACAATAATACAGCTAGAATTAATAATAGAGACAAATTCCAGGATAAAATGAAGTACTTAAAGAGGTCGAGCAAGCTGGATTTAAATGGAAAAGGATGGCCACAGGCCCA